TCAAATAAAGTAACATTAAATATTAAATACATTATATTAAATACATATTAAATTGATTTATATATATTGAATTAAATACAGTTACAAAAAAAACTAAGAAAGACTTGTACACCACATGGCTACCAGTAAGGCCCGAGGAAGGTCCTATAGATCCAAATTTCTTCGTATAAATGTTTTAAGGATTAAATTATTATTGGAGTCAAATGATTTGCACACCCTGCTTCCTTTTCTTTTTTTGCAAATCAGAGAAAAACCCCTTCATTTCACTGCTTAGTTTTTAAACAGGAACTAGAATAGAGATCCTGCTAATTATCCTAAGCAGCCCTTGAACACATTACACACTTTCTGTGAAGCTTATAGCAGACAAAGCCAATAATGAGAGTGGTTATTCTATTATTTATTATTTTTTAATATATCAATTTCGCTTTTCTCTCTCTCTCTCACCAAACCACACCTAACCCCAAAACTTTATTATGTAGACTTCATTACAACTGCCTAGGACAAGAAAGACATGTACTATGTACTAAAACATAGTACAGTTACAAGTTCATACTATTCTTATTTCATACTATGCTAGTAATGTATCGATACAGGGACAGCAGAAATCGATATTTTGTTACAAAAAAAGTTTTTGTGGACTGGAACTCTGACTTCAGAGCATGTTGATCCTTTTTCTGAGCAAGAATCCTGACATTCCTTCACTGTCCAAATGTGTTTAACTTTTTTTATTGCAGCAATAAACATGACAGTTTACTTATTTTAATTTAAGACATGTTTTATTTTAATTAAGTTTAAAACTTTTTTTATTTAATGTAAAATTATATTTTGTTTTAATTTACTTTCAAATTCTTCAGTTGCTGAAGGGGCTGCATAGTTTTCACAAATTCCATAGTTCAGAATAGCTATAATTGTACCAGATGGTTGCATTCAGTTAAGTTGGACTAGACTGTAACACAAACCGTTCAGTTTGTCAACAATAAAACTGACTGAAATGAGAGAAAGACTGAGTGTGAGACTTTGATATTAGATTAAATGAATATTGATAAAGTTTACCTTTATGTACAGAATCTGAGTATCGCAAAATATTTTAAAAAATTGCAATAATATCGTATCGTGCGTTAAATATTGTGATAATATCGTATCGTGGGATGTATGGTGATTCCCACCTCTAGTGCTCTTCTATCCAGGTGTGCTTCTACCGTATTGGAGGGGTTCTTGGAATTATGCTGAAAATGAAGTCATTGCTAATCCAATGGTACGCCGATAATATTGCACGGTTAACCAAAATCTGATGGTACTTGTTTGCGTTCATAATTCCATGATTTGACATGCTCCATAACACCTCTAGCTGCAATTCAGGCCTAAACCATGATGGAGCTTCCACCATATTTTACAGATAGCTGTAGACATTTACCATTGTAGCTCCCTTATTTTTCCTCCACCATATATATTTATGATGATTTGAATATAATGTATATTTAGATTCATCACTCCATAAGGCCCATTGTCACCAACTTTCAGTCCAGTTCTTAGCACACAGCAGCCTTTTCTCCCTGCTTAAGAATGGTTTCTTGGCAGCCACCTATGCACTAAGACCATTTCTGATAAGACTTCAGTTGACAGAAAACTGATCAACTGAAGTACCAGGTGCATCTCTGAGGTCCTATGTCAGGTCTTGGTGGATTTTTCCCTATTGCTTATGGACATAACTTTCAGATGCTGTTAATCTATCGTAGATGAGGGTTCATTTTTTTAAGGCCCTCTACTTGTCCAGATTCCTGAATTTTTTTTATTGACACACTGTACACCATGCCAAAATATGGGTTATAAAAATCCATTATTGCAAATGTACCTTGTTGGTGCAAAAAACAAACAGACAAACATAAATGTATGGTATTTTTAGTAACTTGTGCTAACATTTGTATTTTCTGTAAATTCAACTAAAGAAATGGGAACAATAAATGTCTTTTTGCAAAAGCCTGAAAGTAAAGTGAGTTAGAACTGAAATGAAAATGAGTGGACAAGCAACCAGTATCCAGAGAAAAACTTCATACAGCTTGGAGAAGTGTTGCTCAGGACCACTTTAAAAACACAACAAGGTCTTATTCATTGGAAGCAAATTATAAAGGACTGACGGCTGCATCGATACTTTTACACCGTACTGTAAATCGAAAACAGTTAAAATTGAATGAATGGCAGCTTAAACCTGTTTTTATATTTGTAAAATATCCTTATAGTCAAGTTAATGTAATTTCTTGGTGAATATGTTTTCCCCCCAAAATGTTGACAGTACTCGTTGTCACTGAGACAAGCTGTGCATCAGTTTTTGTTTTGTTTTGTTTTTTAACGGAAAAAAGCCAGCAAGTAAAAGTCCGATGTCGACTTAATATGCGAGGAAACTGCAAGAAAAAACACCAAAAAAAAACAACAAATCGAAACAACTGTAGTCTAAAATAAAAAAAAAGGAAGACCTATTTAATTCAAACACACTATGTGAAGCTAGCATTAGCCACCTACTACGTCTACTGCTTCCAGCTTTTTACGTCTACATATTTATGATCTCATATATTAAGCACTATTGTAATATGCTTTTTAGGAGACCTTAACAGCGTGTTTCTAATTAGTTGTGAGATTTTAACAAGCACTCGTATCGACTGCTGTTAACATGCTAGGCTAACTTACAATGCTAACCATAATAGGTACAAAGCAACAGCGCCGTACGAACAGTAACGTGTACAGAAAATAGATATTCATCCTTAATTCATTACCGAGCAGTTCCAGATTCATTGCTGGACGCCTGAAGGTCCAAAGTCCCTAAACACCCCGATTCCTCTGACAGTTTTTTTATGACTTTTGCTCGTATTTACTTCTGCTGCGACTGCCGGGGAGACTGGCGCCGAGCCTCTAGCTAGGACCCCAAACAATGCCATCTGAGATGTGCCTGAGCAAAATACAACCGTCCGTTTTTCCACTTCCTATATTCCTTCCTATATATCCACTTCCGGCCCGGTAAGAAGAGTTGCCCCAAATTCCTCCACAACAACTTGAATTTGTTGTCGCTAAAAGTTGTTCTACAGCTGTTGTATTGGTTTTTCACAGAACTGCATAGTTCCCTGTCAAACCTTTATTTTTCACACGACTGTATATATGTGTATATGTCACATAAGTGCCAGGTAAAATAATCATCCATGGAGGTGTGACTGGCAGAAAAACTGCTGGGCTGAGTTTTAATGCTTTGATATTCAGTTCTCCTGTTTTACTCCTGCCAATGAACCCCAAACTACTTTTTCTTCTCCTTTCTTAGTTATCAGTTAAAATTTAATTTTTGTTTCTTATTCTTCTTAATTTTCCGGGGGTTGATATCCTCAATTTAGGCATATTTTTTACTGCTTACTTGGTGCAAATACATCTAATATACCATTATCGTTTATTAAAATGTCTAAAGTTCCCTACTTCCATGTTCCTGCTGTGGTTTTAATTCAACTCGCCAATATTTTCCACGTCTTTAGACAGACTGTTCCACACTTGATATCCCTCACACGGGTCATAAACAATAAACCAATTTGTCGGCTATATTAAAGAAAAATCTTCCATATCTGTTGCCACATCTTTTACATTTTTTATATTGTAGAAATATTGTTTTGGTGTCCTAAATAACATTATTTAGTTTTCTGAATGCATGTTTGCCTTTATTCTGTTACACTAAAAATAACATTTTGATTATTATGATATAAAAATGTATATTTAAAGCATCATATTATTAAACTGAAAACTAACCAATCCTCTGGCTTGTTTATGTGTACAACCCCTACCCATAATGAGCAGGTGCCACCCAATGCCAAACCTCTGGATACGCCCGTGACTGTGTAATTTATTTTGAAAATATTTTTGACTTTTTTTTTTTATTCTTTTTTCAGTAAATAAAGGCTGGTGTCAACATCACTATGTAGCACCTGACCCTTGATATCTGTAGCACCTTTTTATGCCTTCACTTGACCATGTGACCATCTACAATCGTGCACGTGAACTGTTCTGTCAGTTTACATGTGAGTTTTCCTTTGAATCTACATAAAATCCACATTAGCCGCACAGAGGCATTACACAGAAACACAAACAACCAGCAGAGTTGTTGATGCTGGATCCGGAGCTGGATCCGGAGCTGAGCCCGAAACAGCAGTCCAATGTGACTTCCGGTTTTCACAATAAAGGCCCAAACTTTAAAAGAACCCAACACCAGCCAGGGGTGGATAAAATGTTGACATTAAGATCTTTAAACATTACATTTTACATTATTGAAAAGGTCGGAGCTTTACGGGATACAAGTTTCTATAAATTAACGAACAACTGACCTAAACTGGGGGGAAACATCTCACAATCCCCTTCTACGAATTTCACCTAGTTAGTGGAAGTTTTTCAGACTTTATTGTTACTGCAATTCCTTTGTGGCATTTTTTTTTTTTTTTTGGTATTCCAAATCTCAGTATAGCTCGGGACGTGCACTTTTCTTCTTGTGTGTAGGATAGGAGGCAAAATACAGAGACGTGTTAACCTGCAGGAGACCCATAATGAAAGCCAGGCTGTCTGTCTTAGAGTGCTGAGTTTCAGAAAGCTGAACAAATAATTTCATCAATGAGAGTGGCCTGGATGGACAGGATTAAAACGAGTACATCAGAGAGACAGCTCAGGTAGAGCAGTTTGGGGGCAAAGTTTGTGAGACAAGGCTGAGATGGTGTGGACATGTGCATATACTGGACATACTGGACAAAGGATGCTGAAAATGGAGAGCAGGCAGGAAGACCACAGAGGAGGTTCGTGCATGTAGTGAAGGAGGACACTCAGATAGGAGAAGAGGAGGGTGCTAGAGGTAGCGTTAGAAGAAGGCAGATGGTACCCAAAGAGAGCAGTCAGAAGAAGAAGAAAAATGAGAAAGAAGTGTAAAAGTGGGGACACCTGCTCACCATTGACCTGCTCCGCCAATAAAATTAGTGCAAGCTTTTATTTTGAAGGTCTGCAAGGGCGGTCCAGCGGGCTGCTGTGTGTGGTTTGACTGTTTTTGTGGCGAAGGCGCCACGTCGGCAGAACCAACAGGGTGAAAAGAGAGCTGTGCAGCGCTACCTGTAACTGTGTGCGCCAGGAGAAAGTGGAAAGCTGCACACTGATGCGGTAAAGGCTTGAAAACCCAGAGGAAGAAGAGAGAGAAGAAGAAGAGGCAAGCAACAGTGAGAGCAGCAGCTTTCACGCACAAGCTGAGAAAAACGAATTAAATTAAAAGATAAAAAACAGCAGGAGAGGAAAAGAACGCTGCTAGATTCTCAAGTTTCTCTGTCAGGTGTGTTCGTGGAGAAGCACTGGGAACAATGGTGAAGGTAAGAAGTCACCAGTATCCTTATTAATGTACAAACGTGTTTGAAAAAAGAGGGGGGGGAGAGTAAGTGGTTGAACAAAATGCGTTTGAGTTGGGCAGCTTAACCGGATGGAAGCTGGTTGGGGCTCCGTTAGTGATTATGTGGAACTTAACTATTGTAATAAGATATTTTTTTCCTCAGCAGCCTGACTTCCAGGAGAAACGTGTCGTTTTTTCTTCAGTAGCTTTAAAAAGAGGCGTCACGGCTTCCTGCAAATGTTACCCAAGATCTGCTCCACTACTGCCACATGTCAAGTCAGTTAAAAAAAAAAAAAAGAAAAAGAAAAAAAAAGCGCACTGGATTTGGTTTTACAGACCGAGCAGAGGGCACATTAATCAAAAACGCATATTAAAATAGTAGCATTCACTTTAAACAAACTGTGTGGTGCACAAGAGGGTAAAAACAGAAGAGCAGGGGGGTGGAGTGAAGTCTAATTTTATTATGAAAGAGTGCTGGATTAGATGCACTATTCACCACTGTGCAGAAGGAGTCGTTGTGTAAAGACGTTAACACCACAGTGACACATGTCCACTATCAGCTGGATCAAGTGCTCCTGGTCAGTGTTGGTGTCACTGGTTAAGTGTTTCTCATACATAAAGCACAAGCTTGTATCAGTGTCTCACCATCAGAAGAGAGAGGAACACAGTGTTCAGTGTTAGGAGCAAATTTAAACTCAAGAATATGTGCACACACAAAAAGACGCAGCTCTTCATAGCATGAGGTTTAGATAGCTCCGAGTATAGCAGATAATTACATGTTGGAGCATGACTCTGAGCCAGTTGGCCAGATGCTGTTTCATCTGATATTCATCTAAGAACGCACAGAATAAAAGTTTATTTCTTTGTTTAAACTGATTAGAAACTGAATCTGTGTTTTGCAGAGTAATCAGCTGGAAGGTTAAACATGACCATCCACACTCTTACTGAATTCCTGTGAGCAAGGCTTCCAGTCTGTTTTACATTTAGGACACAATAAGGGATTCGTTTTTCTTCTCCTAAACTTCACTTATTCAGACAGAAATCAGCATCAGCATTATCTAAGCACCCCTCAGAGAGAATCTAGCCTAACCCCACAGAAAAATCATCTGAATAATAGTAAAAAAAATTCTGTAGTCAAGGTTTAATTCTTTCAGGCTTAATATACATAAAATGAAATGTACAGAAAGGGCAGTAAAATACATAGAAATCTTTAACAACTGCATAACACACATTCATTGTGGAGTCACTCACCACAAAATGACAAGGCAGGAAAAACCCTCAGTACCAGAGCCAGAATAATTCCTTGCATTTGGAAACGTTTTCGTCCACAAAATAAATTTTTGTTTCCTAAAAGAAACTCAAAATTCTTAGATGTTAAATTAATTGTCCAGTGATTTAGAGTTACAGATAAAGTTTGTGAACATAAAACTGAAGGACAGATTTCAGAAAACACGTCTGTAGCTCTTAGACTGGGTCAAGCTCCAGAAAAACTTGATCCTTATGATTTCATTAATGTAACTGGATAGCAGTACCCTCAGGAAAACACCACAGGTGTATTGAAAAGCTGAATTTCATCTCCCCTCAGCCGGTCCTGGCAGGTGGTCATGGTTTCTTCCTGTTTAAAGGGAGTTTTTTCCCCCCACAGCTGTCACAACCTGCTTGCTCTTAGAGGATCGTTGAGTATTTCATATTTGCTTACACAAATTTTTATAAAAGGTCCATTTTGATGGGTAATTTTTTTTGTTATATGTTTTTATTTATCTCAATACTTTTATTTTTTTAATTACATTTATATGCATATATATGTTTTTACTTTTATGTAACTTTTATTTTAATTAGACATTACTTATTCCAACAGTCATGATCTAAGAGACATGAGTACTTCATCTTGTTCTGTCATGTTTCTTCATGATGAGTGAAAATAGAGAAACTTGAACCTATAAAGTGTCTCAAGGCGACTGTTATCGCGCTCTTGTGATGTAATAATAAAACTGAAGTAAATTTAATAGGTGTCTTTTTTTAACCAGTGTTTTTTTTTTGTTTTGTTTTTTGTTATTGTTATGAAAAAATATCAACAATAGCTGCAGGTTTATGTCTCAGGCTTTGTAAAGCTCCCACAGAGCCACACACAACTGATTTATCGCACTGAGGAACACAAAATATGACCAATAACCTGATGTATTTAAAATTCAGTGTCCCTCTTTTTGTTGTGTAAGTACAAAGAGGCAAACTGAATAAAAGTGGCCTAAAAGAATCAGTGGGCATGTTGCAAATGTGACAGTTCAGTGTTATGAGCTTATATTAGTCACACTCCCACAAGAAGTATTATGCTGTGCTCATGACCAAAGTTTAAAACACTGAGGTCAGAATATGTAAGTAATCCCTGTGAGCTAAAAGCTTTGATTTCAGACTGCACTAAACACTCAGTCTGTTTTTTTCTACCCTTGGATCTGAATTACATCATACAGATGCAGGAGTAGAGCTGTCTGACTTCTGTTTTTGAGCGACAGCCAATCAGAGGAAAGTTTGCTTATATCAATCGGAGCAGGCCGAGTATTAGATAAATAAGGACTCCACTGCGAGTCATGCGGAGCTGCCCGAGCAGGTGATCTGTACGGCTCAGTCTGAGGAGCACTGTGAAGCTCAGAGTAAAGACAAGCCTGGCTTTTTCTTGTGTTTTTCAGAATGTAAACAGTGTTAATGTGGAGCCCCAGCCTGGGACCAGCATGGCTGAATTCGACGAAGCCGAATCCACCAACAGCCAGTCTGCAGAGGGTAAGCGCAGAGCTCCCCGGTGTCTGGGACGCTGGAATATCATCGGGGAATATGGTGCAATCCGTGCTTACATGTTGCCTGCTGCTATTTCAGAAACTGTTGGTTCATCAGGGACAATACAGTTGTTTGTGTAAGGGCGGCTCCAGCTCCAGCTGGCTATTTGTGTCCCAACACTGAGACACTTTGCACCAGTTCAGTCGCCTACTGCTGCTTCCACTCGGCGTTACTGTTGTTAAGAAAGGCACATGGGACTTTCCGAGCAATCCCAGGTGTACTCCTTTTAAAACACCAATAATGTTAATAATAATACCAAGAGTTCAAATCAGCTGTTTGTTAATCACACAGCGCTACAGCTACTATAAAATATCAAAGATCGTAGATGAATTGAAGTCAGAAAAACACAACCAGATAACTAGTGAATTTGGTAAACATCTGCTGGATTGACAAGCAAAATATTTTCTCTTTATTTAACTAGTTGGTTGTTTTGGTTTATGACCAAATAGCTGAAAAACTGTCTGTAAAGCCATCAACAGAAAGCGAGCTGCTCTGTCCAGCATCGTTTTTAAGAGGCGCCGTCATGTGCTGCCTCCATGTGGTGAAAGATTTTGCTAAACTTTCCCTTTAAATACCACCTCTGAGATCTGCCAGCAGGACTTCGGTGATCCTCTTCTCTGCTTTCGTAAACACATTTTTAGTGTTTCATCCAATGTCTTATAAAAAATTTGGCGGTTCGGCTAATTGTGACCACATGATCGCCAAACTGATAACTTTAATTAATGAAAACAATCTCAAAATCATCAAGTTGTTTGTGTGATCATTTTCAGATTCTGGGAAAGAGCACGCGGCAGCTCCTCCTGGCATGGTGTGGCGAGTGACCGGTGGCCTCTTCAATGTCACCAAGGGCGTCGTTGGGGCCGCTGTGGGTGGAGTGGCTTGGGTTGGAGGCAAAAGCCTGGAGATCACAAAGTCCGCTGTGACCACAGTGCCCTCGATGGGGGTGGGGCTGGTGAAAGGCGGCGTGTCTGCCGTGGCCGGTGGCGTCTCCACCGTCGGCTCGACGGTAGCCAGTAAAGTGCCGTTCACAGGCAAGAGGAAAGACAAGGCCGAGTGAAGAGGAGGAGAAGGAGGAAGATGATGACGATGAAAATGAAAATGTTTGATGGACTTGCCCCACCTTGAGCCAACAGAGAGGCTCTCAGCTGATCTCTCTCTGCCAATCAGACGCCACAGTGCCTTTCTCGGTTCTCTCGTCAGCACCTATAGATTCAGTAGCGCTACGATATCATGACATCCTTGAATTACCAGCAAGAAAGTCACCAAATCGCTTCATATGATCCTCGTCTGTCCTGGAGTGAGCTTTGTTCGTGGCTCCAGGCGGACTGCATGTACACCGGCACGTGGTGGACTTCATGATAAATACTTTTATCTGTTTACAATCCAGACTGAGGCTGTTCCAGTCCTCTTTCTGCTCTTCACTCTTTCCAATCTTTACAGACATTTGGTGAAATGTTTTCAAGTTCAAATGCTGATTTTTAGTCTTTATTTTGCAATGGTATTGAAGTTGTACTGAAGCCTGTGTGGCATGAAATGTGCGTGTTGAGAAAAATGTTTCAGCGTTGGAAACGCTCTTCAGAGGACAGTCTTGAGCTTTTGCAGCATCTGACCTAAATTCCTTGGAAGAGCCTGAGGCTTTGTTTTCCCCCATCCGCCTGAATCTGCATGTAGAGACACTTCTCTGTAAAGCACCACTGAGGATACAGTCACAACATACCAAGACTGCTCTCTGCTTTTTTTCTTTTCTTTTTTTTCCCACAGCCACGTTAGTGTGAAATGCTGGAGCAGATCTTTTTAAAGAAGGAAACTTTGAGCATGTGATTCATTGATGGTTGCGTAAGAAGAAAAGTAGTGCTTCTTCATGTCTGATTGGTCAAACCGCACCTTTAATAGAAGGTCATCACTGTTTAGTGCAGGTGAAGCTCATTAACATTTATCTGAAATATAAGCATTTCAATGCAACATCTGGAGCAAATGGAAGCTCTTGCTGATGGGTCTGAACTATGTGAATGTCTTATGTGTTCTTTTTTTTTTTTTTTCTCCAGTATAATCAATAAAGTAGTTCATAAGGTCAAACGTGTTTAACATGCTGGCTGGAGTCTGTCCTGCTGCTTCGACATCGCAGAAACGTTGCTGTTCTTACAAAGAAGAGCACAAAAACATAACATCTATTTTGAGCCGCCATTACTTCCCTATTTCTACTCTGGGATTTTTTTTTTTTTTTTTTTTTTACTGTGTTAAATCATCATCAGAAAGTCTCATATCCAGAAATGTTCTGCTGATTAAAGAGGCAGTAAATTTGTGTCTGGAGCCAATGTGGGCTTGATTTTAGTCTCAAGATGGACAAATCCATCTTACTTTTGAATGCATCAGAGTATTCTTCTTCTAAAAATATTTAACTTTGATTCTCAGGTTTACTAGTAAGATAATCTGTTTTGCAGAAGAGACTGAGCCAAAGTCTTTAATTGTTCTCACGGTATTCCTAAGGTCATTGGAAACTGAAATAATTGAAGATAATTCAAACAGGAAATCTTGAAAAAAATTAAACATTAGTACAACAGGGTTTATGACTCACTTTAACAGAACAGCCCAGACTGGTCCTGACCAGAATACAAAGAAGTGGGAGGCCACAGTGCAACAGAGGAAGAAGTCCGGGCCCGGCGTTCACAAAGCTTCCCAGAACCAATAGCAGCTCCAAGGAAGCAAATTCTAAGAATGCTTTCAGAGGTAATAATGCTTTCTATGAATTTTCCTTTCAAGTTTGGATTAAATTCTGGCACAGATGTGTTATTCACAGGCTCATCTCAGCCTTTAAAAGAGCACTTCAGGTGAAAAGCTGGAGGAGGTGTTTCCAAAGGAAGGAGAGGAAAAACACAGAGCAGGTCTCCCCTCCAAGTGTGGAAGTATAGATTATACACAACTCACGTAATCCTTTAGTCAATGGGTTTAACTTTTAGATCAGGGTTGTTAGAATAATTTTACACTGTGGATCACTTACAGCGCAGTTTTATCTTTAGCTGTCTCGAACATTGAAACTGTTGTTGAACATGAAGGTTTTCAAGTTATTGGGTTTACATAGAGAATGACACACTCAAGCATGCAAACGCTACCAAAAGCACAACCTTCTTGGAGGTAATAACCTATAAAATACACATCCTAATTGTTCCTTTCAGTGTAAAGACTTCAACTACACATTGAATACATGTCATAAAGTGGCTGATTAAAGGGAAAATTTGAGAGCAGACACTGGACAGAGAAGAAAAAGGGAGAGATAACTAAATTTCAGGTGTTTGGACGAAAAACAAACATGTGAGATGCTGAGCTGCCACGCGTGCAGGAGAAATGTGATGGTCTGAGGAGCTTCGATGCTGGCAAATTAGTAAAACAGATCTTGATCACAAATCGGTCAATTATCGCTCAAAGTGATGGCTCGGCTGGAGAAAGTTTCCTACCTGAACCGGACAACAAGCCAAAGGACACCCCAGAACTGCGCAGGAGCTATTCAGGGAAGAAGCTGTCAGCCGGATTTCTGTTACAGTGGCCAGAACAGTCACTGAATTTCAATCCCGCTGAACTATTTACAATCAAAAGGTAATTTTATAGCACTGCTGGCTGACAAACTTAATTCTGCAAACTTTTAACATTTAATTCAGCCATCAAATAGAAATAATAAGTTATAAGTCAGATCATAGAGCCATCTTTTTTTTTTTTACATCCATGGCTAATTTGCAGTTTATTACCAGTGCAAGACTTAAAGTTTAAGTCACGAGTTTAACTCATATTAGAGGTGAAGTGGCTCAACAGAAGGTCAGTGCATGAGATTTTCTTTACACACAGGACAGAAACACAGGTGAGTATTTCATCTGTGTGTCAGTGTTTTCTGAAAGAGCATGCTTACTTCAAAGATCTAAATAATTAATAACACAACTTAATAAATAATCAGCGCTTCTTGTGATAAGTCTTAGATGATATTTAAATGGTTAAAATTCTGTTGTTTTATTCAAAAATTTTATTTCATTAACTGATAGTGGAAACAATACTATAGAAATGAAGTTGGTTTTTTTTGTGTTTTTTTTAAATAAAGAAAATGATATATAGTTTTCATATATTTTGTACATTTGCAGGTAATGTAGTTGAAAATGTCCTAAACTATTAAGGGTAGGACCCCCTAGACCAGGGATGTCGAACTCCAGGTCTCGAGGGCCGGTGTCCTGCAGGTTTTAGATCTCACCCTGGGTCTACACACCTGAATCAAATGATTAGTTCATTACCAGGCCTCTGGAGAACTTCAAGACATGTTGAGGAGGTAATTTAGACATTTAAATCAGCTGTGTTGCATCAAGGACACATCTAAAACCTGCAGGACACCGGCCCTCGAGGCCTGGAGTTTGACACCTGTGCCCTAGACACTCTGTCAAATTAATGTTCCCACTCCTATCCAAATTAAACATGAACTTTTGCACCTGTTGACTGTTTGATGTTGTTTTTGTAATTTTTCTGCTTTTTTTTCTATGGATGACATAATTAATAAACTGTTTAAATTATTTTTTTATTTTAAAATTAATTTATAAACCGCTTCGTTACTATTTCATATCATAGGTTGTGAGATTTTTCTTTCTTTACATAAGAAATAATTAAGGTTCAAGGCAGGCAGGTAGAAATATATGGAGGAACATAAGTGCTAAAATGAAATAATACTAAATTAGTAATTAAACGTGTCATTAACTAATTACTATTGGAAATTATTATCTAAATATTCCATATTTAAATAAAATTCCATACATTTTTCATGCACAACATTCAAAAAATTATGTATTCATTCCTTTTTTTTAATCAGACATTTAATTAAATATTTAATCATGTATTTAATGTTGGCACTCGTGGCCCTCCAGTTTCCTGCATGAAGGAATTGAAGTAAAATTTGTGGCAGCTCATGTAGTGAACACCAGGGGGCGGTAAATCCCAGCAGGGGGATTTAAAGCTGCTGAAAACGGTTAGAAGAAGAACAAAGATCGGCTGTGGTGTCCACATGTTCCTGAGCTGTTTCTGTTTATTACACATGACATCTGATGTTAGAGGAATAAAACAAGAAGAGGAACAAAAAGAAGTATAAAGCGACATGAAAGCCTCCTCTTTAGAGAGTTAAAGGTAAGATAAGAGCAAGAGGAGACACGCTGAGGTTTCACAGCATCTGACAAGGCTGTGCTGAAAGGCTCCTGTGTGTACAAAAGACAGTAGACTTTCTAAAGTGTTTAGCGCTGTACTACTCGAAATGTGTCTTATTACTAAGTAATTCCTAACAAATCCATTACCGGAATAATTTTAACTGTTCTAAATGTAAATAAAACAGTGTGCAGTAATTTCCAGAGTTTCAGAAACCCAGATTTAATTCAGCTTTGAACCCAGAGAACAGATCTTTAAACTGGAAAAATGTCCATTTTAAATAAAACTATTATCTCGTTTTGTCGCTGCTGGACTTTCTAGAGAGGATTTTCCTCCCATTGTTGCCTGATTCTAGCTGTTCAATCATCCTGGGTCTGCTTGTCATCATTTTGTGTTTCATGATATGCCATGATTTCATGATAAGCATTGTCTTTGTGAGATGTACAAGCTCTTCTCTGAAAAACATGCCTGTGGTTTTTAAATGTGTATATACCTTTTAGCATTGATGGTGCCTTTCCAGATGTGTCAGCTGCTGGAACTAATGCACTTCCACAGTTTCCTTAGTATTTTGGATGCAGTGTCCATGTTTTTCAAAAAGAAATTTCAAATTTTGATTTGTCTGGCCACAGTTTTCCACTTCTCTTCAGTCACTTTTAAGCTTTGGTTCAGAGAAGACGGCAGTGTTTCTGGATCATGTTCACATATGGTTTCTTCTTTGCATGATGGAGCTTTAACCTACATTTGTGTCTGAAACAATGAGCTGTGTTCACAGATAATAATTTGGAAGTGAACTGGAAGTGTTCCTGAGTCCATGCAGCAATTTTTATGGCAGAATCAGGTCTGTTTTTAATGCAGTGCAGCCTCAGGGCCTGAAGATCACAGTGTTGTGCACAGAGCCTTCTCCAGATTCCTTGAATAGTTGAAAAGATATTATGTGCTGCAGATGATGAGATATTCACAGTCCTTTCAATGTCATACTTAAGAACATTATTTTTGAAATTGAGCCACAGTTAGTAGATGCAGTTTTTGCAGACTGATGATCATCTTTAGTTCTGAGAAACTCTGTCTCTTTAACGTGCTCATTTTTATTCCCAATCATGTTACTGACCTGAGTTTAGAGCTGTATGTGTGGTTAAGGTTTTGTTTCTGTTGATCAGACACTGTTTGAAGATGCTGAGTGATTCTGAGGTTGCAGAGCTGCTTTCCTTCCTGACTCCCAGCACACGTCCAGATGTCAAAGGTCAGGCCACTGAGTACATCCTGGGACTGTCTGGAAACAGGTGGGAGGATTATTTAAAGTGACTTCTGCCATAAATGTAGTAAATATGTACATATTTCCATCTTTTTACTTTCTTTTTCCCCTGTGTTTGATGTCAGGGATGGCTGCCGCTTTCTCCACTCTAAACCTGATCTAATTGCTGCCCTGTTTGCCCTGACCTCTGACCCTTCCATTGCCATAGTGAAGGACTGCTACCACATCTTTATCAACCTGTCAGCCGATGAGACTCTTCATCAGGTAGTGGACTCGAGCGCAGCCCTTGAAAACTTTGTGTGTTCACTTTATTTCCTTTTCTAAAACAAACATGTAACGGGCGTTTGCTGGTTGTTGTGTGTCCCTCAGGTTTTGGTGAAAGATGTCAAAGTTGTCCCCGTGTTGTTTAAGAACCTTCTGGACCCCGAGTACCTGTTCTCCGATCAGATCTGCACCATCCTGTCAAATCTGACGCGACACGAGAAAACCTGCAAGATTTTATTCAAGGTGCGTCCAGTCAGAGCGCTTCATTTTAGGACTGAATTCATAATCATTCTAGCTTTACCGTCATGTTAATCTCCTCCTCATGGATAATGAGAGACAAACTGTTTCTGTTTCAGGTGCTGCAGGAGGACGTCGGTATGGCACAGCTTGTTCAGATCTTCTGTACTGAAGGT